GGCAGTCTGCCTTCACCATTGGTTGTCCGTGCACCTCGGAAGCCCCCCGTCTATGACGCAAAACCTAATGGTCGGCCTGGTCGGGGCAGATAAGATATCCTTTGTCATCATTGTTGAGGGAATAAGCACTGAATACCGACAAAAGATTCCGCAGATGTGGTGTCGGATCGGGGAGCGGAGTAGACGTATGATACAAAGATAATGATAGATATATGGACACGTCATTTGACGGACGCATGAATAAACAGATTTATGGCGTCGATAGAGCTGGGAGCTTGAGGTGGAGCCATGGATTCGAGTGGACCTCCACCGGGAGCTGGGAGAGGTTCGACCCGAGAACCGAGAGGCATGAAAAGTCCAAATCATTCGAACCCGTCTCAATGTTCTGATCGTCAAGAAAGCAGGGAGCAGAACGACTCACGAAAACGCCTCATACCGGAAATTCCCGCCCTGGCCCGTTATCAGCATGCATCCGAGTCAATCAAATCACGGAAGAAGAAATATCAGAGTTCTCATTGAGGTCTTGAGAGTTTTTATCTGAGATTGAGAACTCGGGTTCAAGTCTAGTGTGTTCGAATCCAGGCAATATTCGATCGGAACAGGATTGCCGGACAGGCCGCAATTTAGGTTGAAATACGCCACAGCTGATATAGCTCCTCTCTGATGGTACCGACCGGCGCGGGCGCTGCTCGCGATCGCTGTACCCACAGGACAGAGGCGTCGCCGGGGGGGCCTGAGGCCTTTGCTTCTGCACTTGTCGATCGAGTGCAATGGAATTGACAAGACTGACTGCTCTGAAGGGAATCGGTCGATCTTGCACGCTGTGCGCGGAAAACGGCCGAAAAAAGAAACGGATGAGAAGGACGGGAAGAGTCTGCATGACTTTTCCTTTTCGGTCAAACGCTTCTTCCGTCACTGGTTCACAGTTATTCGGTGACAATGGAACTAACAATGGGATGTCTGCTCTCGACGGCTTCCTATGGAAACAGACCGAGTCATCCGTTCGCTCCATGTCTCCGATAGTTTGAAGGATGTGCTCGAAGTTTGACCAAGGCGTAGCCAAGCAGCAAACTCCTCCTTGAGCGTCTGCCACCGATAGGACTGACTCCGCACAGCTCCATTCGGTAGACGTGGAGCGTCCGCCTAAGCGTCCACTCAGAAGGCTCGGCAGAGCTCTGCGAGACTCCAACGGCCTGATCCGAGCGTGAAGGAATCGGCCAGATGACGCCCCTTCACAAGATACGCTCAATGGGATATGGAAACAGGAGGTGGGATCGTTCGAATTCGAATTGGGTACTTATCTCGGAGCCGAGTTTGGATCGCTCGAAAACTGATTAGAACAAGTCTTGCAGATTCCACTCTGAACGGGATCAGCCTCAGAGTCGAGTTGAGTTGAGACTAAGCCTCTCGCCGTCTAAATCGAGTGGAATCTATTTCGGGAAGCACATCTCGAAAAGCTGTGTTGGACCTTTGAATGGCGCGGTATAAGGAGCAGCTCGCACTCGTTCGAGGGCGAGCACTCCTCCCGGCGAGATGGTGAGCTCCGTATCATGCGGAACATGTGGCTGAAGCGGTCGGGGCCGAGAACGGGTTTCTGCGAGCCCGATGGCTCTGGGTGAGACTGTAGGAACATTGCGAAGGCTTCAGAGATCTACCCCATGGCTCTGGATTCCCATGCAAGCTCGGCGGTTCCCAGGATGAGGCATCTTGAATCACAGCCAACCGGACCGCACGTGGTGAAAGCGTGAGCGAAGCTCCTTTCTTAGGGGACTGGAGCCCCCGACACGGAAAAATTGCCGCATACGGAGAGATTTGCGTCAAGTTTGCTGAGACCTCGACTGACAAGACAGCACGCGCTGTCTGACGTCATCAAAGCCCTCATACACGCGAAGGCAGCCGGGGGGGGGATAGACAGAATTTCTCAGCACAGTCGCGTCAATGTTCTGACGTAAAAGGAAAGGTGCGCGTATACCTTGGCGGAATTGTCGAGTTTATCTCGATTCATGCGGCGGGCGGGCGGGGAGGGGGCTACACTAGAATGGAATCACTTGCGTACAGAGCAGCGAGCCCCTCAGCAGAGCTTTATCTCAAAATGGGATACGGGGGTATTGTATTTTCTCACGAAAAAGTTCGTAGCGTTTGCTTTGTAGGAAGTGGCTCGATCGCTTCGGTGCACCTGACCAGTATCTCGATATGTCCCGAGAGCGGGAGGTTGGGGATCACAATGAGAGCCTTTCAGAGCAGAAGTTTGCTCTCGAAGTCACCCGCGTCCGGGGCAGGCAAAACCGATAAGTCTAAGGAAACTGGAACTGAAAGGCTTTCCGGGCGAACAGATTTTCACCGACGTCGGCTCCCGAGCCCTTTGCGAATTGTGTCGGTTCGGGTGTGTGAAATGCTGTTATTTTCCTCCCCTGCAGCGACCATTCCACCTTTGAGTCAAATACACAGTGCCGCTGCTACTACCGTTCTCATCCCCTACCTCACATCAGCTGAAAGCGAGGGGAGGGAAGCAAGCGAACAAAACCAGACGTTGAAATTATTGCTACTTCAGAACTCTTCCCTTCTGAAGCAAATGGCCCCCAACAAAGCTCCGACAGGCTCTGACACTTCATTTCACGACGCCTTTCGGAGCTGAGGAATGAAGCTATCACATGATAACCTTCGCGGCCGAGACCTGTGAGCTCGATTCGGTCCCTACGAAGCAACGCCAGCCGTGACATCAGTTCGAGAAACGCAAACAGTGCGACTAAATATTTGAAAAAAATTGGAAAATTCTCTCCGAAAGGAAGGCTTAGATCGATGATGTTCACCGCCCGCGTGACTGTCGCTGAGCCATCACATCGAAGAAAAACACCGCCGTTAGCGGGGCTATTGCTTCCGAGGAGACGACAATTACCGGATCAAGGTGTCCTCGGCTGTCGGAGGGCTCAGGTCCGGGCCAAGGATCACCACCGAAATGTATGTTGTCGCGGATAATAGTGAAAAGGCCGAGGAGAAGTCCGCTGTTTATTCAAGGCTCGCTTACGTTCGTAGATTCGGCCTCGGAGCTAGGATGGGTGACGGAATGTGTGTTCGAGGGTTTGCGAGCCCCCGTGCAAGTCGAATGCACGCAGCGGATGCAACTCTCCCGCAAATAGATTCAAGCCGCGAGCTTGGCGTGAGCGAAATAATCGGCGGGTTTTTTCTCGCGCGAGCCGCCGGAAGCGCTCCAAGCCGTCTGGCCTCTTGGTTGTAATGGAATCCACTGTTTGATTTAGACTCCGTCAG